TATATATATATCAGGCGAGAGGGAAGGTTTATTCTCCATCCGAAACTATATTTCCACAGCTTACTTTATTTTCAAAATAGTGTTCAGGAAATATAACTAAAATATGTAACATATTCAAATTGTTAAGAACATTTACTTTTATTAACTTTTACGAATCTGTTCATTTTATTTCAATATTAACTCATCGTGATTTGAAAACCTTGCTTAATGAAAAGTTTGAAGTACATTGTTGAGGATTATGATGGACCGTTCTTTTCGTTCGTACTGTTCAGCAAGTTGCTGAGCAGAGAAAACATCCATATTACTCGCATATGAGAATTAAAGGAAATGCTTACCTTTTAATGAATACTTCCAAATATCGGAAAATTTGCCCATCCCCATGCGACTTACCTGGAACAAAAAAGAAAACAATAAATAGACAAACACATTTAATTAAATCAAATACAGCGGCAAATATTTGCAATAACTGCATTTATTGCAAAATTTTGCAATAAATCAAAGCAACAACAGGTTAACCCATGTACATATATTTAATCAAATCCTAACTTAACCTCTTGTAATTCCACATACATATTGGTCATAAAGTCAGAATGTATAAATACCCCAAAGAAAGAGAAGAATTAAAACTTACTGATGATCTGAAAAAAATCCCTAACTCTTCCAAAATCGTAAAACAATCAAACAAATATTAAAAACGTCAAATTATATTGTGGTCACTAACAATAACATACTGTAACGTTTCTCCGTGGTGAATTAAAACACACAGGCAAAATTTTAACTAAAACGTTTATTCGTAAACAATGCTACACTAAAAATATTTGATCTATTTACAGATATATTACACAGTCCTTGTGTTCTTCACTTGATTATTTTCCTTACACACGATTCCGTTCTTTGGATTATTATTTACATAGTTCACTTCTTCTGATTATTTATTTATACTCTTCACTGCAATCTGAGTATTTATTTACACTGATCACTTCTTCTACAGTATCGCACAGTCCGATGCACTGTCCACGGCCCACTGCGCTGACCACAATTCCTGCGTAGACCACAATTCACAGCGCAGACCAGGGTCCACTGCACTGCTGTTTACCGCAATGCACACTTCACAGCTCAGCTTCCACCTAAGAGACTACTGCACACTCACTCTGACGGACTGAATTCTTACTACTTCTATTTCTTACTTGACTACATACACTGATTGACTCGCGGATGCTTACTGCCAGACTGACTCATGGCCACCAGCAGCGACGAATTTATACATGGCCGGCGCGCGTCTCGAGCCAAAGGTAACGTGCGCAACATTTCTACGCGACTTGCGAATAACCCGGAACCGTCCAGTTGGGGGGGGGGCGGCAGATGACGCAATCCATGCGCAGCAAATTCCGGCAGTTGATGCAATATTCGTTACAATACGTTGATGTGAATGTAAGTAAAATTTTAAAAAAAACTCAAATCAACTGATTTATTCATGAACACAGCGAGAGGACGATATTGGCAGACTAACTTAAAAGGATCTCAGTTCGATTCCTTGTGCGGAGAAAAAAATTGCTGTTTGGTATCACTTTTAACGATTTCTGTAGTACAATAATATTGAGAAGCCGTTACAAATAATGGGAGAAAGTATGTGCAGTTGCAGCTTCCCTAATTTCCAAATGTAAACGATATGCATTTCTCTATTAGAAACGAAATAAGTTTTTCGCGGGCAAAATACATGTATTTCAACGTCGTATCCCAACTGGTGGCGCCGCGGCACGTTTGGCCCGCTTGCTCACCAACCCACACCCCTTCGCATCACGTCGCGTCGCGTCACGTCGCATTCGGTCTTCTTGTATTAAAAGCGGTTCGTGCCAGAAGAAGTTTGGCTTAATCACAATCAGAACTATTACTTTTAAAATACATATATATATATATATATATATATATATATATATATATATTATGTGTATGTCTTTTTCATTCTTTTGTATTATTACTCGCGTTAGTCTCTCTTCGAAATTACAATTTTTTTTAAATTTTGAAAATACAAAAAAAGTAGATTAAAATAGCGTATAAGGTATTTGTTCATCTGTTTCAGTAAGTTTAGAACGAACTTTGCCAAAAGTTCAAATTTAAAAAAATTAGAACCATTTTGAGATATTCTTGTTTTTGTATTGTTTTAATGTTGCCCTATTTTGCGCAATAATGCGCGAAAATGTCTAAAAAGGAATGAAAATGTGAATATTTATACATACATTGTTTCATTATACAAAAATGTAATAAAAAAGAACGCTTTGAACATGGAATAAGCACCGCCTTGTTCATTAAATGGCTGGGGATTTTTTGACCGCTTTCAAGAACACGCAGGAGAGATCGTCAGTGTGTCGCGGACGGTTAGGTTTGTTGACTGCTATACCTTGGCCATCCCACCACCATTTGTGAGTTAACCACTCTGACTTAATTTCGTAAAGTCACTGCTGGTTGATACCGCGAAATGTCGCTCCTCCAACTGCCGCAGGTGCTGGAGTACCTGGCGTCGCAGGGCGCGCGCGTGGAGGCCGAGGCCCCGGGGGCCACCTCGCCGCTCATCAGCGCGCTCCTGGGTGGGCACGTGGGCGCCGTGGAGGCGCTGTTGCGCCTGGGCGCCGTCGCCACCAGCGAGGCGCTGCTCTTCGCCGTGGGGCTGCCCGGACACGAGACGCAGCGTCACCGCGCGGCCATCGTGGCGCTGTTGCTGCGGCACGGCGCCCGCCCCGACGCCGCGACGCGGCGCGTGGCCGCGCTTTTGGGCGACGAGCGGCTTCTGCATGTGCGTTTGCCCCCGCCCCTCCCCCCCCCCGCCGCGCGAAACGCAGCTGTTTACAGCGCGTTTTACGCGGGATCATTTCTATTAAATTGTTGGTATAAAATGACGTTGGTCTAAAATGTAAAAAACAGTTGGTCTAAAATGACGTGCGTATTTTCCAGTCTGTCTCAGAATAAATGTAATAACCTTCTACGGCATTTAAGGAGCGAAGATTGTCACTATTTGTCAGTGATCACTTAATGGGCAAATCCATATGACCAAGTACAAAATGTACTGTCATGTATGACAGATGCCCCTGATTGGTAGGTAACCCATCATGCGTTGGTGTTGGGCAGGTACAAGAAATCCCTTTGCTTCAGATCGTGAACTGCCAAACACCAGTACATGATGGGTTATCAACCAATCAGGGACAAATTCCACATATGTAACTGTTCTACGAAATTTGACACATGTTGATGGGCAGAAAATAATCATTTTTCGCTCCCCGTGTGTGCCCTAGAAATGTGTACATTTATTTTGATGTATCTTGTCTACGGTTTCCACAGATAAACTGGATACAGAAATGAACGCGTTTCACACGTTCTAATTAAATATGAACGAAAGTAATATTTCTTTCCAATATTTCCAACTATCAAAGTACTTTCGTGAAGTTGATAATTGTATGGTGTTGTTTTGTGATTGTTTTTGCGTTATGACCGAAATTTATAATTGGGACGTTTCGTGATCTTGTTGTTGAAAGTTTGTCAGAAACGATGTTGTATTGTACAGAAACTCAGAATGTTTTAGATAAAAAAGCGTCCCACTGCCTCGGTTACGCTTCTGCAATAGAAAGATAGTAGAGTTTGGCCGTGGATTACTGTATGGAGTTTCCGCTGCTCAACTGCTATAATTTTTTACACAACTCATATTATTAAATAAAAGATAGTGTTTACAAACATAAATGTTACTTTCCTTTTGATATTCATATTTATGACAATCCTTCAGCGTTGTGAAAGTGAATCGACGTCGCGGTTCATTGGTGGTTAGATTTAATATTTTTGTCGAGGAACGGATTAAAAATAAAAATAAAACAAATCATGAAGTTGAATACTACCACCCTTGCGATGAAATTCAAGTGCCGTTCCAACATGTCGAATGATGGAAATTGCAATTGGAATCTTAAAAATTCAATTTATACTTTATTAAAGATTGAGAAATCACTTACCAATCATCATGACAGCAAGGTTAGGTTGTTCTATACAACGTTCTATACAACAATGTTATAATAAACACCTTTATTTGCAGATGTTCATGGAAAATGGCACTGACGCTGAGGAACTGGGGGAAAGGGAGATGCAGAGTATGGGACTTCACAAAGTGTCTTCAAACATCGCAACATTCACTGAAGAATTCATGAATAAAGTTGATATCGTGCATCGAAACGATGTATCTAACTCAAACCCGTCTGAAATTGCAACTGCGTCATCTTCTGTGCCTGAAGGAAGAGAAATGAAGGTAAGATTTCCCTTTCCTTGTTTTTTTTTATTTCCATCTAGAATGACTAGAACGAGAAGATCTTCGAGACACATTACTGTAGGAAGTCACGTCACAAACGTCCATATCTAAGAGATTCGAACCTGTATCATTTCTTACGAAATATTACTTCGCCATACCTTCTAATAACCTCGCCAAAGCAGATTGGAAGATCTAAGATTTATAAACTAAAATCATGTAATAATTTGGTATTTTGAACAGCTTTTGAGGGTACACACTAGTGACAATTTAAGGCCGCGCCAAAGAAAATATAATGAGTTCAATAGTACCAAATAATTAGGAAAACCCCAATTCACACAATTAAACTGCATTATTATTTTTGGGTTATTTTATTTATTTTTAAACAAATCTATTTCATGATTTTGCAATCTATAATCAATGTACATGATCGTGGGGGTGTTTATATGTTTTTAAAATGTAAATGATTGCATGGAAAGTAATTTTTCAAACAAACTTTTGAGTGCTCATTGCAGCTGAACTATTCGAAATCCGAGTTTTTTATACAAAGCATGTTTAAAATTGACTAAATAGCTTATTTTCGATGTTTTGTTTCTTACTTCTCCACCCAAACCACCTCACCGGTTGTGATAGACAGCTCTGAACACTAGTGTTGGGGATTCTATTTCCGACAGCATGTATACCATACAAGTTTTAAACTTTTTGACTCTGACGTTGTACACCAAGGCAAACCATGACGTATCCCATTAACATTTAACATCCCGTAAACATTTAAATCATAATTTCGTAAACTCTCCCCAAAGCTGACCTATAATGTTCTGATCTCAATATCTTGCGTTCTATTAGCTGCTTGGTAATAAAAGAACAAGAAGGCTCGATAATAACGTATTTTCATATTGATCATTTCATGTTTCTAAAGCTGAGTGAAAAGAATGTCATTTTGTAGGAGAGCGATTAATCTTTCTCAAATAATTCATTTTCTTAATTCGCAAGTGTTAAAACAGCATTATATTTCATACATTCGATACAACAATTATGGTTTGATTAGATAGAATTAATGCTCACTTTCGTGTAATTTCTTCTTAAACAATACATAGAGTGAATTTCATGAAATGTATACATAACCGGTTTTGTAGTCGCATCAGCAATGACTGAATTTTTCGTAAAACGAAGTTCCCACTCTTCTTCCCAAGTAAGAGTACGCATCACTATGATTGATTGACTAATGCTTCCGAGCGCATTAACTGCTAAGGCCATTAGTCCCGTAAGTAGGATGCATGTTTTATCGCTGGAGGTGTTAGTGATATTCCCTCGGGCTAACCTACGTCGTTTTGCAGGGATTTTCCCCAACCAGATATCTCCCACCAATATGGCACCCCCATTGCCGCGACAAGCTCTAAGTTCCCGACAAGTGTCGCAGTGTAGTACATGTGAATGTAAGTGTATATAAGTAATGGGTTAGGATACCTCATGAAACATGGAAATATCACGCGCGGTCCGTGGCCTGTTTGTTAGGGTACAGTTCTGGCATTCGCCTAGCGGAGAAAACCCGGAAAACTACCGATCAGATCAGCCGGCCCCTAGAATTCTCTTCCAACAGCAGCTGAATTCGACCTAGCTGTGAAGCTAGCGTCGAAAATCCTGCCGCCTTCGAGTCTCGACTCGGTGAAAGGCACACAGTGACATTAGTTGATACCCTGAGGTAAGCGAGACGCTTCAGCAAAACCTCTCCCGCCACCAGGCGCAGCGAGAGGGTGCAGATGCGGAAGCAGGGAAGGAGCAACCGGGCGGCAGCGGGACAGCGCTCCACGCGGCGGTGGCGGCGGGCGACTGGGCGCTGGTGGCGCGCCTAGTGGAGGAGGGCGCAGACGTGGACGCGCGCGACGACACGGGCGCCACGCCGCTCTGGATGGCTGCTTTCAACGGACAGACCGAGGTAAGGCTCGAACCATCTTACGGCCCTATTTACACGCAGGGTGCTAAATGATGGGGGTGGTGTGATCAAGATCGCCCCCCCCCACGAGTTTTATTTCTGCTGTCGGAAAAGAAGTAATGTGTCTCTGCCAGGAACAGAATTCATTCATATCTAGGAGTCTCGTTTATGATTTCCACACTCAAATGTTTAAATGTAGGTAATAGGGATCAAAACCTTTCCAAGAAGACCCGTAAAATTTATTGTGTCTGTGCAGCGTAATCAGAGCTGCCTAGAGGATGTGAATCGAATTATTTATATATCTGTGCGGCCGGCAGATGGGAGACGCCCAGAACCAAAGAATCACAAAAACTACAAAATTCAGTATTATCTCATTTTACGTCCGAATTCAATTACAGGGCAATAACAAGATAGCCACACCTGCCACAGTAAGCCGCCCTGTATTATTAATATTTCGATGTTAATCAAAGTCTGCAGTATGCTATTGCCACAAGCCCAACCAAGACATATGCAGAAACACAATAAGCCGCACACTTTTATCAAAATCGTGATATTATTATTAAGGGATAGCGGGAGACGTTATGTGAATTGTGTGGCATGTCTTGTTTCTGACCCAAACCCTCCGAGTGCAACTTCCACATGCCGCGGGCAAGACAATTGCTCAACCTGGCCCTACCGGCGCCTGCGTGCTTAGGTGATGGTAAAAAATCGATATTTTTGAGCAGAAACATCGATAGTATGACATCGATGTTTTTGCTTTCCATGTTCTCTTCAGATCGATGTATTTGTGGAGAAACATTAATATTTTCAAAAATAATTCTCAAGATATAAATAACATCCATTTTATTTGTGGATTGCTCACAATCAACCGCCACAGACAACTGCCACACTTGTCGATCCTCAGGAAGCACGAAACCTTTCGCTATTCGCTACCTTTCTATAGTGCTGTTAGCTTTTTTTGATTATTTAGTAGAGGGTGATACGTATTGTTAAAGTGCCATTTGAACCTTGACTACACAGAACGTTGATTAGAAAATTTAGATGTCAGCCAAATTTAAGGCAGAATATACTTTAAACTAATATTGACGTGTTACTTGTATGTGCCACACTAGAACCAAAACATTTAGCATCGAAATGTATCATCATATTTAAAAACTCGTTATTTTCAACATCTATATTTTCAACATCGATATTTCCAACATCGATATTTTCAACATCGATATTTTCAACATCGATATTTTCAACATCGATATTTTCAACATCGATATTTTCAACATCTTTATTTTCTATATCGATATTTCCAACATCGATATTTTCAGCATTGATATTTTCAACATCGACATTTCCAACATCGATATTTTAAACGTCGATTTTTTGTCGATATTTTCATCGACATCGAAAACTTTTTAGTGATATATCGATTGCTCCGCTCAGCTGCTGGTGCTGCTGGCGGGCGCGGGCGCCGACGTGCACGCGGCGGACGCGGCCGGGGTGCCGGCGCTGCTTGCGGCGGCGGCGGGCGCGCACACCGAGGCGCTGGACGCGCTGCTGGAGCTGGGCGCGGACGCGTCGGCTCGCACGCCGCGCAACCGCCACACGGCGCTG